AGAAGCCATGGTTCTAACCGGGTCTGGTTATGTGTCAGGTGAGCACGAGTGACGGTGCCCTGCGGCCGGCTGAGCTGGTGGGGTGACCCCTTTTTATTTGAAACCTTGCTGAGGTACATGTATTGTTCAGCAAGTGAATCAGAGGCCCGTCACTGTCACCAGTGAGGACGAGGAGAACTAGGTTCCAGTTCCAGAGTTATCCCAGCGAGCCGAGGGACCCTGTCTTAACTTCTCTGAACTCTGAGGATCTGTAAGACAAGGCGGTGTCTAGATTAACGTCCAGGGCCTGGCTAGCCTTAGAAATTCTCCATACATTCAAGGCTGGTTTTACTGCACTGGTCTCATGGATGTGAATATATGCACTCATTTAAACCATACATGTATATTCATCGCAGTCCTAAATGAAAAGCTCAGGAGAAGACACGGCCCGCCACTCATCCTTTATAGCCCCTCAGTCTAGACTGGGGCCTGACACACAGTAAGTGCTTTCAGTTAATATTAGTTGTTATTAATTCAGGGAAGAGTGGAGAGGCAGGTTGCTAAAATTAGATAGTCTCAGAAAATTTGGTGGAATTTAGACATTACAAGATGTAAACCAAAATAAAGGACAGGTCAGGGAGATGAGAGTGCAAAATGAGCTGTGTTCTCCCCTGAGCTGTGACTGATGAGAACAGACTCCCATTTGTCCGTAACTGTTAGGGAATTACATCCGATGATGCACACCTGGTGCCTGACTCTGTACCGGGCGCACAGGATGCTCGCAGTGGGATATTCACTAGTGTTAGGTGGAAGAAGAGGAGTTTTCTGGTCAACAGAAGATTGTCAAGGCAGGTGGACCATCACTCAACAGAACTAAAATTCGAGAGCACACATACTTTCCACCAAATCGTGCTGGACTTCACATTTGGCTCGGAGGGTCCTGCCCCAGGTGGTGTCCTCCCCAGGTGTCATCCTCGGTTCTCTGGGCACAGTGGTGTGGGTGTAGAACACGAAAGAAGTCTAGCCGGATGAGGGTTTGACCCCACAACGTTGTGTGACTGTTACTCTTTTGAGTCCCGAGCAACCAGGTGGTAACTTCCGTAGATGAAATGAAGACACACAGAAGAGACATCTGGTTATTTGACTCTTCTGGTGAGGCTGAAAAAGAAATGGGAGTTTACCCCTGAAGTGATCTGTGATCTGCCTGGAAATAGGGATTTCCAGGCATCAGGATACTCTTCTGTGTTTAGTACCCGACTCTGAGGACAGGGTGGAAACCTGCCTGCAGCACCAGAGCTGATGACCCTCCAGAGCGGAGGGCAGCATCGTGTAAGTGGAGATGCTCCTGCCAGGTACCTAAGCTGGGCCTGGCTCAGGTGTCCCCGGTGTCCCGTTGCTCCCTGTATGAGTTTTAGGCCATGTGTCTCTTCTAGGCTGTACTCCTGTGACACAGAAAGAAACCAGCCTGAATTCACATACCATGTTGCTGTCTTGTTAAGGGCAGAGGGGAGAAGGGAGGTTAGGAGGGCATTACCTGGCGCCTAGGTGTTGCTTCTAAACCTGCGGGCTCTGTGAGCCCCCGTCTCTAGGCACCTGGATTGAGCACAGTGCTGTTCTTGTGATTTTTTTTTGCACTTGGTATTGCATATAAAAATGTGTGCTTCATTTATTCTGCCCCCTGCGCTTTAGAGAGGCATTGTCATCTTTTTCTAAGAAGCCCCAACCAACAGGGCAACAGCAAGAGACGGTGTGCTTGTTACAAGGCACAGGTGCCTAGGGCTGCGACAAGGCTGGCCCGACAAATCGGACTCAGAACACAAGTCACCGCTCTCCTGAGGCTCCTGTGCAGAAGAGGGACCTTTGTGGTTATGTTGTTCTGCGCCTTTGTTTTCTAAATGAGGAACTGGGGGCCCAGCGAGGCAGAGCACCTTCACCAGAACCCACACGTCTGGTGTCCCAGCTCTGACTTGTGTCTGCCCTTTAGCCCCTCCTCCATTTCGTTTCGCACTCACTGTGGTCTTGCCCCCGTGGCTGCCTCCTCTTTTTCTCTGTAAACATCAATACGAAATACATTCGCTTTGCTTTTCAGCCTTGCCCGCCCCCTGCGTGTCCAAAATAGCCGCTGGAATGCATGAGACTATTCTGCCTTCAGATGCTTATAATCCCAAAGAATCCCTTCTGGTTTTTTACAATAAAACTACTTGGATGTCGGTATTTTATGTTGGGAAGGCGAGCCAAGTTCACGATGCAGCAATTACAATGCCATGCATTATGTATAATTGGTAACGCGCCCCAGGAGCGCCGGTAAAGCGTGAAACGCCGCTCCGGCCCCGGCGCCTAGTTAGCGGGACCGGCGCTGCCCAGGGAGGGGCGCGGGCGCTGTCGTCCCAGGTCAACAAAAGTAAGGGAAAGTTCCCATAAAGCGCTGCACCCCGAGTTATACAAAGAGCAGCCCCTCATATCAGGCTGCAAATAACGCCAAGAACTTGGGTTGCTAATTGAGGAAACCTTTTGAGGTTTAACAGCTCATAAATCCGCGCAGGGAGCGCCTCATTGTTCTGAGGCTGTAAGTCTTGCCTTTGAAATGTAGCCGTTGTACTTGTATAGCACGTTCCTCCGAGAGCACCACTGTAAACATGAAGGGTTTGCATTTTAACATCCATTTGAACAATGTGGTCTGAAAGGAGTTGGCCCACATCAAAGGGAGGCTGTTTGGGCATGTTCTGTACGTTCTTTTTTGTATCGTATTTGAAGCTACCAATGACTCACCAAGGTATGTTCCACTTAGATCAGCCGTGCCAGTGTGGCGTCCTCGCCACCCTTGCTTTTCCTTCCCAAAGAGGGTCTGTGTCAGAAAACAGGTCTAAGCCTCTGGCCAGCGCAGTTGCCCTGAATCTACAGTCTTCAGATCCATAGAGACAATTCTGGAAACGTTGTTATACTTGGTCTAAACAGTAACAAATCTTGTGCCTTTTCATAGTCTTTTTTTTTTAACTCAAAATCTCCCCACATCAATGTGCAATTTCTTCTTTTTCCCATGTAACAATTACAGTTCCCGTCCCCCCATGCCCTCATAGCCTTACTTATTTTTTTTAAGAACCCACTCATTTTTTGCTGAGCCACTTGGCTAATGTGAAGAAAGTGTGGATGATAAAGGAGGGATGGGGTGTGGGTTTCCAAGGCAGCATAGTGGACTGTGGGGAACACAGGACTTCCACCAGCCTCTGGGGTCCAGACCCTGGGAAGTCACACTTCAGTCTGACCGTCTGTTAAATGAAGACAGTAGTTACTCCTCTGAACCTCCCTCCCTCCTTCCCATTCTTGTGCTGTTTGTTTATTTATTTATTCCTGGGGGGAGAATGGAAACACAGATCCTCACTGTTCTCAGCCCGCAGAGCTCACCACCTAATGAGGACACATGGCACCAGGATGATCAGAGCCCTGTGTAATAACCTGCTGCAATATCGTGTACTTTGAAGAAGGGGGACTTGATCCTGGGAGAGATTAGAGCACAGGGGTCACGGTCTCTTTCCTGAGGGTTTGGTGTTTGAGCTGAGAGCCAGAGGAGGCGGCAGGGATCACTGCGGAGTCTGGGCTGAGGGAGGGCAGGCTTACGGGGCAAGGTACGAAGTTTGATCTTTATTCATGAATAAAAGGAAACTCTTGGAAGTCTTTGGGCAGAGGATAAAGTTGATGAGATGTGTGTTTTGGAAAAGCTGTCCAGCTACCCAGTGGAGAATAGCTGGTTGGATGACCAGAGTGGAGGCAGGACATCATTTAGGGGCTGGGGCACCAGTCCACACTCATGGAACAGGTAGCTGAAGCGGGGCTGGTGCCACCGCACATGCAGGGGAAGGGATGAGTTTGGGGACCATTCAGGTTACAGTGGCAGGATTTGGTGAGGAAGGGGAAACTGTCCAGGGTGACTAGGGTCTAGGCATGTGTGACTGACCATTGGACACCGGGGACATCCCTGGGTTGGGGAGCCTGGATGGTCTAGTAACAGGAGCCACTGACCCTTGATTGCTTTGGACCAAGCACTGGTGTCCTTTAATTCCTTCCATTCCAAGCACATCCATGGGATAGGTTTCTGCATTGCACAGACAAGAAAATTGAGGATTTTTTTCTCAGTTGAGAGAGGATACCGGAGCCCATCCTATCCACCGCTTCTGACCAGAACTGGGTGGCAAAAGGGCACTGTTATAAAACACCAATGTCCACTTGACCCAATCTTTAGAGCTTCTTTCTTACAACTATAGATAGGCGTTTCAGAGCTAGCTTTTTATCCGGCCACAGCACACACAGGGATTTCCCAAAGATGCTCAGAGAGCAACGCCCCACTTACTGAATCCTCAGTTATCCAAGGTATTTACAGAGTCCTAACTTGGAATTTATAAAGTTCACAAACATTTTGTTCTGGGGCCTCCTTTTCTGTTTATAAAATAAGTTTTATTTTACCAGAAATTAATGAACAGACATAAAAGGTTAAGCCATTTTTGTTACTAAGTATCTCCTCATAGCACAGGCCGTTTTGGGGTCACTTCGGAGCAGTTCCAAGTTAGTTAGAGGCAGGCTGTTTCAAGGGTGTGCACGCAGTCTTGCGAAAGCCCGCAGGTCCTCCAGAGGCTGGAGGGCTTGTTCACTGGAGACGTTTCAGTCCCAGGGCACAAACATGCACACAACACACACGCACACACATCACACACACACACGCACATTCTCTCTCTATATTTGATGGATCAGAACCTGGTGTGGATGGGGGTGAGTTCATCAGAGAACATGCAGAAAGTAGCGATTAGGCCCAGGATCAGGCTAAATACCGTCATGTACAAAAACGAGCATGTGTTTAAGATGACCGTCCTACTTCTGGGGTGGTTTATCACATGACAGACATTCACCACATCCCACTTCCTGGCCACCTCTGACCCTCGTAGGGGATTTCCCAGCTCCCGGTACAAAGAGCAAGGCTCCTGCCTATCTGTGTTTCTCCTGATGACCTCTCACTGCCACTTGCCTCACAGAGCTCGTCCGTCTGAAGGGCTGCGATGGTGCCGTCCTCGCCTCCCAAGTCATCCCTGCCTTGGCCGAGGAGCTGACCCTGGTTTTCTGAGCCACCAACCCTTCAGACTTCACGGGGCTCGTACTGCTAACCAGGCTGTCATTCTTCTTTCAGGTACTTTCTCTCTTGTCCCTCCAGCCCCCTCCCTTCCTGTCCTGCCTTTTTTTTTTCCTTTTCTTAACCCAGTGAGTGCATGTGGCCAAGGTCATGGCATGGCTCGGTCTCCCTGCAGAGTT